GAATGCAGCTCCGTGACTTTATTATCTCATTGAGTAAATAATGAATCATTGACTCTTATTAGGGCATGTTGTTGTTCAGCGCTCCACACCAAAGAAACAAACCCAAAACACAGCCCTCCCGGATCTCCCTTTGGCTGGACACTCACAACTCCATGCAGAAATCCTCAAAGTTATCCGGCTCGGCTGCTTTTGGCGCTCCTGGAGTACTTTACTCTGCCACAAAGTTTCCTTTTACTCATGAATAACAAAAGGAGAGTTACTGCGCGTCCCGAGCACGAGCACGCGCACAGCCACTCCGGCAGCTCCGCCTATGGGAATGATGGACGCGTGACGTTACGAAGCGCGCGACCGACACTCACGCTGGATTGACGAAGCGCGCGCGCCCCCGTGTGGAAATAAGATGTGTGTGGATCATTTTGTGGACGCGCTTGTCGTTCACCAGTTAGTTATTATATGTTAAATTTGTTTATTTTGTGTGTGCGTAATTAAGACTGGCAAAATGTATATGTTATAATAATGTATTTACACAGTTTAATACACTATTTATCGAAAAACAATTAAAGGAATCATTATGACACATCAGATTTCATGCATCTTATTTATGTTTATTATATAACAGATCATTTATCCTGCATTTCAATATTATTTATTATTTATTTATATAATTGTGTGTGTGTGTGTGTGTGTGTGTGTGTGTGTGTGTGTGTGTGTGTGTGTGTGTGTGTGTGTGTGTGTGTGTGTGTGTGTGTGTCGTACATTCTTTTAACAAACGCTACCTTTAGTTCACCAATAGGAGGCAGTATAATACACTGATTTAACATTATATTTTATTGGTTTTATTGGGGATTTTTCCTCTCCTTCGGGCATTAGTGTTACCTGCTGTGTCCATTCCTACAGCTCTGTCCTAGGTGCTGTTCATTAGTGCTCACCTTACCTCCTGTCCTCCATCCATCCATCTATTCATCCAGGGTTTGTCAACATACATGATTCAATGCCATACAACATTCCGCAAAAACCTCAAGAATCTTAATTTTCCGGCATGTTTTACTCCTCATGTGTACTGCAAGCCGTAAGTTTATCTTCATTCTTGTTACAGTAAAGCAGATTAAAAAGTGTTTTACCAGGAGTGGGGTTCGAACCCACGCGGACATATGTCCATTGGATCTTAAGTCCAACGCCTTAACCACTCGGCCATCCTGGTGAACATACATTTCTTTAAAGCCAGAAGACCTTATATGTGAACAGCAATCAGCCATGGGAATATCAAACTATGTATGTCTAGATGTGAAATTTATGTAATCTATGCATGCTGTTCATGCAGACTTTACTGTCATATTTACAACCGAGTTGCAGCTTGCTAACTGACTGTTAGCATGCTAGTGGACTCGCTTACAAAAACAACCAAAACGTTTATATACGTTTGATTTTTAACTAGCGTACACGATTGAAGACTATTTATAAATCTAGCCATTTTTATAATGCGATATTTTAAGTCGTTTTTACAACAATGAGGTTATATTGTTTGACGTTTGTCTCACAGTTAGAAAGAGCGCTAAGAAGTAAGTTAAAGCTAATGCAAACATCCAGGCTCCTTACGCAAGCGTATGTTGTAACAATATTTCGAAAGTAAAAAGAGAACAAGATTCCTGTGTTACATTATGTTTTGAAACTGCAAATACGGTATTTTGAATATTTAATCAAATCAGAAAAAGCTGTGACTTAGACTGTTGGTAAATCCATGGTAAACCCTCATAACTCAGCCCTGCCTCCACGTAAGTGCCACACACAGACGGTTTGGATTGTTTCTGCTTTTCTGAAGTGAAAGAGGAAATAAAATCAGGTTGTTTGGAAAAAAAGTGAAAGTGTTTCAGTAGCTACTCGTGTCTGTAATTGCTAATACTTGATCTATTTGAGGAGAGAAGATGAATTTATGTAGGGATAGCTCACTCCAAATTTTCTGTCATCATTTACTCATCCTCCACTTTCTCTAAAGTTAAACCTTTTGTTTCTTCTGTTGAACAAAAAAGAAGATACACTGGTGTGTGAAAATCCAGCTTAAACCAGCCTAGGATGGTTGGATGGTTTTAGCTGGTCGACCAGCCTGGTTTTAGAGGGTTTTGGCCATCTCCAGCCTTTGCTGGTTAGCTTGGTAGATGACAAGCTAAATCAGCTTGACTAGCCTAGCCAGGCTGAGAGCTTAGCCAAAACCAGCTATGTCCAGCCTAAAGCAGGCTGGTCAAGTTGGTTTTAGCTGGTCAAATTCCGGCCTGACCAGCTAAGACCAGGCTGAAAAGGGCTGAAACCAGCCTGAAAATGGCCCAAACCCCTAAAAACCAGACTGGTCGATCAACTAAAACCAGCCAACCAGCTTAGGCTGCTTTTTCCAGCATGGCTGTGTAACCCCGCAAGTCTACGCCACCCACCCCGCTCTGAGCTGGTATCGAACTAATGACCTTCCGCATGGGAGTCAGTTTCTGTAACAAGGAGGCTAAAGACCATAATCTCCAGTGTCTGTCGCTAGAGCACCTTTAGAGTTCAGAGAAGTGAAGTTTACCTGCACAGTCCTTACCAGCTGGCCTCCGTTACACTCACCCCCCTAAACCTCACTCCCTTCCAGGTCACGGCACCAGTGTAACCCCACCAGTCCTACACCACCCAACCCGCTCCGAGCTGGTATCGAACCGATGACCTCACGCAAGGGAGTTAGTTGCTCTACCAAGGAGGCTAAAGACCATGACCTCTAGTATCTGTCGCTAGAGCACCTTTAGAGGTCAGAGGAGTGAGGTTTACCTGCACAGCACTTACTAGCTGGCCTCCGTTACACTCACCCCTCTAAACCTCACTTCCATCCAGGTCATAGCTCCAATGTCTCCCCGCCGGTCCTACACCCCCCAACCCGCTCCAAGCTGGTATCAAACCGGTGACCTTCCACAAGGGAGTCTGTTGCTCTACCAAGGAGGCTAAAGACCATGGCCTCTAGCAACTTTCGCTAGAGCACCTTTAGAGGTCAGAGAAGTGAGGTTTACCTGCACAGCACTCACTAGCTGGCCTCCGTTACAGCTGCTTGTTCCTTACCGATTGCTTATTTTCTTTGCATGTTTGTCACACATTAATGCTTCAGATCATCAGACTAATTTAAACATTAGTCAAAGATTACACAAACTATACACATGATGCAGTTTTAAGTGGTTTTTATTATTAAGGTAAAATAAAATACAAAACCCCATAGCCCTCCCTGTGTGAAAAAGTGTTTGCTCTTCCTGTTAAAACATAATTGAACTCTAGTTTATCATAGCTGAGTTCAGTTTCTCTATTCACACCCAGGCCTGATTACTGCCATGCCTGTTCACAATGAGAGATCATTTAAACTGGACCTACCTGACTTAGGGAAGTAGACCAAAACATCCTCAAAATCTATAAACATTAAAGACTAAAGGCATTTATTAATGTAACATCACTCTGCAATTTAAAAGGGGGCAAACTCTTTTTCACACAGGCCTATGGCATTTTGTATTTTACTTTCCCTTAATAATAATAAAAACCTTTATGTAAAAACTGCATTATGTGTTTATTCGTGCTATCTCTGACTAATTTAGTTTGATGATCTGAAACATTGAAGTGTGACAAACATGCCAAAAAACAAAGGGCAATAACCTTTTCACACCACTGTGTATGTATGTATGTGTGTATGTATATATATGTATGTGTATATATATATATATATATATATATATATATATATATATATATATATATATATATATATATATATATATATATATATATATATATATATATATACATACACACACACACACACACACACACACACACACACACACACACATTTATATATATATTATATATATATAAATACATTATCAGTACACTGCTAGGTTGGGGTTAGTGTAAGTTGACATGTACTGGCAAAGTTTCCTATAGTCAGTTATATGTCTGTTGAAGGAGCAGAATCAGCAGAGATTAAGCAGACAGTCCAGCGGAGAAATTAAAATGGTTGTGCCCAACTGAGTCTGGTTTCTCTGGTTTGAGATTGGTAATGCTATGCATCGATGGATTTGCTCTTCAGTGTTTGGACTCTCAGTAATGATTTTACCACACTGAACTGAGCTAAACTGAACTGAACTTAAACACTAAAAATCTGAACTACACTGTTCAATTTACTATGACCATTTATGTGAAGCTGCTTTGACACAATCTACATTGTAAAAGCGCTATACAAATAAAGCTGAACTGAATTGAACAGTCTACTAATACTACAATGGACCATGTGTTACTGAATTCTAACAATTTTAAAAAAATAAACTAATAATATTGGCCCATACTATGTCTTATTGGCCACTGCCAGAAATATATTCCCGTACAGCATAGATCTGGTTTTGCGCTCCAGGGTCACAAATATCAATTTGTTTATATTCATTCATTTTCCTTCGGCTTAGTCCCTTTAATCATCAGTGGTCACCACAGCGGAATCAACCGGCAACTATTCCAGCATATGTTTTACTCAGCGAATGCCCTTCCAGCTGCAACCCAGTATTGGGAAACACCCATACAATCTCACATTCACACACACTCATACACTACGGCCAATTTAGTTCATCAGTTCCCCTATAGCGCATGTGTTTGGACTGTGGGGGAAACCGGAGGAAACCCACACCAACACGGGGAGAACATGCAAACTCCACACAGAAACGCCAACTGACCCAGCCGAGGCTCGAACCGAACCAGCAAACCAGTGACCTTCTTGCTGTTAGGCAACAGTGCTAACCACCCCTATTTGTTCATATATAATTTCATTTATAATTTTTAGTTTTCCCAGAGATGGGTTGCGGCTGGAAGGGCATCCGCTGCGTAACAACTTGCTGGATAAGTTGGCGGTTCATTCCGCTGTGGCGACCCCGGATTAATAAAGGGACCAAGCCAACAAGAAAATGAATGAATGAATGAATAATTTTTAGTTCAAATGAGATGTCATGACTTACTCAAATAAATAAGTGTTCTCCACAGTGTTTCCTTCCTTTCTGATTGTAATATTTGCCTGATGAAAGAAAAATGTTTAGTTTGACTTTAGTAAAACACACTCAAAAAATGACTTTTGCTACTTATTTAAGACTACTTATTTAAAATAAGCTGAAACAACACTAATCTAAAGTTGTTTTTGGAATAATCGAATTGTTTTATGTGAATCCACTTAAATTTTAAGTTTAATTAATTGATTTGTGTTTGCACAGCATGAAAGAATTGTGTGGAACCCTGTATTTTCTACAGTGTACAGTTATTTATTAGTCAGATTTATTCGTCCTGTATTTTTTCCCCAGTTTCTGTTTAACGGAGAGCAGATTTTTAACATTTCTAATCATAATAGTTTTAATATCTGATTAATATTAACTGATTTATTTTATCGTCAACATGATGACAGTAAATAATATTAGACTGGATATTCCTCAAGACACTAGTATTCAGCTTAAGGCTTCACTATAAATTCCTGACTTCAACTCTACATTCAAATACACTAGTCTCCAATGATTTTGCCAGTAGTTCTTCCTGTAATCAGCCAGAGAAGTACACATGACTACATTTTACATTTTGCTGATGTACCTTTGACCGCTGAAAAAAGAGATCCAGACGGATCCAGGTTTGGAGGGGTAAAGCGGTGTGTGCTGTAAACGCCTGATCCTTTCCATCCACCGTTTGAGCCTGCAGCACTATATTACCTGAGGACAAATCAAACATCACAACGTGCATTTAGAAATATACAGTCAGAGTCAGAATTATTCACCCTACTGTTCATTTTTTTCCTCAGATATTTCGCAAATGATGTTGAACAGATTCAGGAATTTCTCACAGTACTGTATGTCTGATAATATTTGTTCTTCTGGAGAAAGTCTTATTTTTTTTATTTCGGCTAGAATAACAGCAGTTTTTAATAGTTTTAAAGCCATTTTAAGGTCAATATTATTCACCGCTTCAGCAATATTAGTGTTGGATTGTCTCCAGAACAAACCACTGTTATACAATGACTTGCCTAATTACCCTAACTTTACCCTAATTACCCTAGTGAAGCCTTTACATGTCACTTTAAGCTGAACACTAGTAAATATCTAGTCAAATATTATGTGCTGTCATCATGGAAAAGAGATTCATTCATTCATTTTCTTTCGGCTTAGTCCCTAATTTATCAAGGGTCGCCACAGTGGAATGAACTGCCAACTATTACAGCATACATTTATATATGTGCAGATCTTTGTCATTGCATTGAT